AGTAGTCCTTCTGGGAGTGGTTGGTGGGTTTGAACCGCCAGCCTTCTGATTAGTAGTCAAATGTCTTAGGCATTACACCACCAGAGCTCCCAACCACTTACCTGTTCTCAATCTCTATGATTGTGTAATTTCAAGAATGAGATATTTGTGCTCATACAATATATATAAACTTTTAAGACAGTTTTTTTTTTCTACACTCAGCATAATTCCCTTGAGAGTCCTCTAAGTTACTGCATGTTTCAATAGTTGAGTCCTTTTTATTACTGAGTATTATTCCATAGTATGAATGTGCCAAAGTATAGCTACTCACCTGCTAAAGGATGTTTGGGTTATTTCCAGTTTTTGCCTTTTGCAAACAAAGCTATTATGAGTTGCAATTGAGTTGTAAGTGGTGCATTTGATTTTTCTTTCCTTTTTTTTTTTTTTGTAAGCAAGAAAATTAATGTCTGAGTTTCTGTCTTCATTTGTTAAAAGTAGATAGTAATAGCATTTTTTCAGAGCTGGTATGAGGAACAAATAAGGTGATAAAATGGAATAAAATTTAAAAATGTAAAATGGTAAACAAACGTTGTTGTTGTTATGTGTTGTCGAGTCGGACCCAACTCATAGTGACCCCTCCTTGGGTTTCTGAGGCAGTATCGTTATGGAAGTAGATTGCGCCATCTTCCTTCCGAGGAGTGGCTGGTGGGTTTGAACCGCCAGCCTTCTGGTTAGCAGTCAAGTGCCTTAGGCACTAAGCTACCAGAGCTCCTAAACAAACGTTAGAGAGCATAATATTTTAAAAGTACCACCAGAGTCGTAACAAAATACTGATAAAATAAAAGGCACAAGACCTTGTGGGAGGGTACAGTTCCAGTATAGCATGATGTAGGTCATTGAATATTTCTGTTCCCCAGTTTCTTCATCTGTAAAATTATGTTTCTAAAGTTGAGCACCTTAAGGAAGCAGGCCATAAGACTCTCACTGGATTATGAGAGAAAACCAAACAAGCCTCCATATACAAAATTACTTTGAAAATGTTTACTACACTGCACAAGACTAAGAAAAGCTGATTATCATCCATGGCATTCTGACATTTATCAATACGTGTTACAAATTATTACATGTATAATTTGTATGTGTGTATGAAAACAGTATTAGTAGCAATTAACATTATGAGAATGTATACGTAATTTTAAACACCAATCTAAGTGAAGTAGGAATTGGATAGAAAATCTAGTACAGGGAAGGAGTTAGTAGATTGTGTCTGGGGAAGGTATATGAATGTCTAGAGAGAGGGTTAAAGAAATTTTTCACATGTGCAACCGTTTGTATTTTCTTTTTGAATTTTTGGGCAATCTGCTTCCTTAGTGATACCACCTTGGAAACCCAAGGAGGGGTTGCTATGAGTCAGATGTGACTTGACAGCAGTGAGTTTGGTTTGGTATTAGTACCCTATTCACAAAATAAGACTTTGAAATTTTAGAAAAACCTTTTGTAAAAATGTAGCATTAACATAAAATGACAGAAGTGTTTATTTTAATACTGTTTTTATTTCAGTTGGCAACCTGGGTGATGCACACAGATAACGGGGTAACCCTCTCTGCTGCTAACCAAAGGGTTGGAGTCCAGCCCTAATTTGACACACATGGGTAGCTATGAGTTGGAATTGGTTCAGACAGCAATTCTTTGCTTGTTTTTTAAAATTTCAATTATTATTAATTTAAATAATGAAAATGTGAAGCCATTGCATTTTCAATATGATTATATTCTTTTAACCAAATGTATTATGGTTCCTGGGCATGTCCAGTTCTTCTGAGTAAAACAATCTCTCCCTTATTTGTCCTACTATTTTGTAAGATTGATTTGCTGGGTGATGGGATTATTCCAGGGCCTAAATGACTCCCTGACTGGTGAATGAATGAATTCCTAAAAATGACATTAAATGGAGACAAGGCAGCCGTTTTAGTTCTGAGATTAGAGAAAAATGAGGCAAAAAGTGAATGAATATAGATAAAAGGAAGAAGTCCAGGATTGCTAAGGGGCACTATAGATTCGGATAGTTGTCCTTGCACCTCAGCCAAGGGCCTTACCCCTCCTGGACATTTTGATGGTCTTTCCAAGTACTAGCAGAGCATAGAATTATGACCCTCTATTTTCCTCATCTATTACCATCACCAGTCAGGGCGGGATTAGGATCTTCGCAGGCTCCTCAACACTGGAAGGTTATGCTGCACTGCCCCTACATAATTAAACGTAAAAAATTAGGGAAATTAATTAAAACTTAGGGTGAATCTAAAGCCATACTTGCAGATTTTCTGTAATAACAATTCCGAATAGGTTTATCAAAGTTGAACTTTTTCTTTATGCTTTCTCCTCCTTTGCTAATCCATCTAAGTTTAGTGGCCTGTTCCAGTTTACTTTTGCACGACCGCTAGCAGGTGCCAGCTATGACAGCCCCACCCCGTTAGGGATCTCCTCCCTCGCTCCACCTACCCAGCCCCTAGCCCCATCTCCAGGACGCACTGTCGTGACGTCACGCGCCGCCGCCGCTGCAGCCCGCCAGCAAATGAGCGCAGACGGCAGCGGCTCCTGTAGTGCCCGCGCATGCGTATGTGTTACGGCAGTCTGAAGACCTGGCGGAGCCCAGCGTGGAGGGAGGCCTGAGGGTGGCGGGGGCGGAGCGCGCCGCGAGCTGGGGGCATGTCCGTGGCGGGCGCCGTCTAGAGGAAGGCCACGCCGCCGCCACCGCGCTTTCAATCGCGGCGAGACACAAGCGAGCCAGGCTTAGTATCGCTGCTGCGATGCAACGACGGCGGCGCCCTCCGCCACCTGCCTCGCAGCTGTCTGAGAGCTGCGGGGGAGGTGGCCGCGGAGGTGGAGGTGGGAGTGAAGAGGTGGAAGTGCAGTTCTCAGCCGGGCGTTTGGGCTCGGCCGCGGTGGTCTCGGCGGCGGCTGCGCGCAGCACCGAAGAGGAGGAGGAGCGGCTTGAGCGCGAGCATTTCTGGAAGATCATTAATGCCTTCCGCTACTACGGGTAAGGAGTCTACGGTGGTCCCCGGCCCAGCCCATCTGGGCGCCCGCTGCTTGTGGCGAACCCACCGGATCGGTCGCGCTCACGGCGCTCGCCCTCCGGCCGCCACGCCCCCGGGGGCCCCGGACCTGGCAGCCTGAGCTGACCTCTGGGTCCCGGAGTCACCTCACACCAACCCAACCCCTCCCGTTCCGCGTTCTTGCCGCCGTGCCGCTTGCTGCTCAGCCGCTTGTCTTCTGATCTCAAGTTCAAATTAGCTCTTCCATCTGCTTTAAAGATTTGGCTTAGAGGCTGGTGGGGGTGAACGAAAAATCAGAAAATCAAGTTTAGATAATAATTTCATATAGAAGGTGATGATGGTAAAGTCATCCAGTATTAGACGTGATTTGTATGTGCCTTCAAAGCCCGGAACGTAGGGAGATCCCAAGTTCACCGACACGTGGGATGCTGTAGGACACATTTTCCTAAACTGTTAGCAGTTCTTGTGAGAGCTGCGTAAGATTTCTATCCTGTCCCCCTTGGCTCTGTGCACAGCATGCACGTTTGTGGTGATTGATTACTGCTGATTAGTGTTTTTACCGAATGGGTGAATGAGGCTCTAAAGTTTACTCATTATTAATGAGGGAAATGCTGGAGAGAAGGCACATATAAGCAGCCTTCAGGTTCATTTATTCTGCAAATAGTATTGAATGCTGACTGTGGGCTGGGGTGTGGCCTTTAAGTATGCTCTGTTTCTCATTGATAATTCAGCTTTTTTTTTTCCACATTTCTTCTAACTAGTGAATTTCTTTTAAATGTTAAAATAGCTTAATCACAAATTTATAGTTCTAAGTTCTGAAAGGCACTTAAATCAACCGATTTTTAGCTAAAGAACACTATTCATGTGATAGATACGTGAATCCACTGATGGCTATGTCTGAGGCTACAATTGGAAACAGACTGACAGGACCTCCTTAGGAGGCAAAGCTCTGCTCTTACGTGGGCCCCTGCTGTGCTTTATAAAAACTTTTTGTTTGTTCATCTTTGTGTTGAAGTTGTTCACGTATATTAATCTTTGCTTTTCTGTGACCTCCTCAAGGGCAGAGCGCCTGAGCCTTATTTTTATGGAACCAGTTCCTGGCATAGTTGTTGATGCTCTATTTTTAACAAATAAAAACGTAGCAAAGAAATACATCTGCCATCCTCAAATAGTCTGTCAGGTTTTTGACTGTTGGGTAAACTAGTGCAATAGTAATTTTGAATTAGAAACCTGCTTCATAAAAGCTTAACAGTTAGTTAGGGTCTGATTAAAGGAGTTTGGTTTTTCTGCTTTGGGTGGAGCAAAGTTTTCATGACTAACCTAAAGGTTGACTGTTGGAGCCCACAGAGCAGCACCACAGAAGAAAGGCCGGGTGATGTGTTTCTGTAAAGTTACAGCCAGGAAAACCCTGTGGAGTGCTCTACTCAGTAACGTGTGTGATGTCAATTTTTCGGACTTTTCAGATTTTTACAAAATAATTTCCTAATTAAACCCAGGCAGAGGGACCATTACTTAAGGAGCCAAAAGACAAATAGCAGTTTGGGGATTTTGTTTCTCCAGATTTAGTAGCAACAGAGGGAGGAAGGCAGACATCCAGAGATTTTAATTTGACTCAAGAATTGTGCCTGGAAGAACCATGCGATAAAGGGAAGCAGCTGGACAGCAGATAGCCTGAAGTGCAGAAAAACCTGGTACATTTTACTATTGGAAACTTTAAAAAGAATACTGGGAAATGGATTAGAAATCTAGTAGATTTGTTTAGTTGAATGTGTATAATAATTGTACCCAGTTTAATATATCAGGACTAATTTAGATTTAGATACCAAAGAACCTTTGTTAGGCTCTATAGAAAATGGTATCTATGGGCATGTTCTGGTGGTTAGGATACTATTACCTGTCCTTACCAAGGAAATCTTATTTATTTATTTTAAATCATTTTTTATTTGCATGTACCCTCTAGATGAAACAATTCAAATACATTAACTGAAAATAAACCCATTGCTATTGGATCGATTCCGACCCTGTAGGACAGAGTAGAACTGGCCTATAGGATTTCCAAGATAGTAATCTTCATTGAAGTGGATTATCACATCTTTCTCCTGTGAAGCAGCTGGTGGATTTGAACCGCCAACCTTTTGGTAGCTGAGCACTTAACCACTGTGCCACTAGAGCTTCTTGAACTGAAAATAGCATATGATTAAAAATAAGCTTTTAAAATGTCACTTAAAGGACTAGGTGAATGGAAAGCATCGTGTTGCAAGAAACACAGTGGATTGTCATATTCTAGCATTTTATAGTCAGCTGGCTAAATTCAAGTTTAAATTAAGCACAATTTAAAATTCAGTTCCTCAGTTTCATTAGCTGCATTTCAAGTGCTCAGTAGTTCCATGTGGCTGGAGTCTGCGTATTGGCTGGTGCAGACACAGACCCTCTGCATCATCTGATGAGGAGCAATCCTGTCCCAGGCCCTTTCCCAAGCACTTCCAAGTTTGGGAGGGTTTAGGTTTACTGCAAAAATGTCTTTTCAGTCAATATGTAGGGGATTTTAGATTAAAAAAATCAAAGGGCAAGAAATGTTTTCTGACTAATATTTTCTCTTTCCAGTGGCTTAATTTCATATTTCCTACAGATTTTGATGAGATGACATATTTTAATAAGGGTAAAAATGGTTGTAGCATTATACTGAATAGCAAACATGTTGTTAGCCTTAAAACATTACTCTTGTTATGAAGAATTGCCTAGCCAGGTGGAAAATACTACAGTTGAAGAATCAAATGTCTTCTTAGAAACATCTCATATTTAGAAGAAATGATGAGATTAGATTTTTAAAATGGAAATTTGGAACTAGTTTTCACAGATGAACAGATAGGCATATAACAAGGTAAGCAACTTGCGTAGGGTGACACATCCAAACTGTGATGAGAGTATGACCTGAAATCTAAAACGGAACACAAAGATTTTACCTTGTGTTAATAAGCAGTGATATTAGTAAGACAAATTTAACCTTGGGTATTTTAATAACTAGGAGCCCCTGGGTGGTGCATACAGTTAATGTGCTTAGCTGCTAACTGAAAAATCTCGAAGGTTTGAGTTCACCCAGAGGAGCCTGGAAAGAGAGCCCTGGCATGCTGCTTCAGAGACACCCTGTGGAGAACACTTCTACTGTAACACACGTGGGGTTGCTGTGGGCCAGAGTTAGCTTGACAGCAGCTGGTACTGATATATTTAATAAATATTGAACTGTTGAGACAGACTATTTCTGATAAGAAATAAAGTCTATTTGTTTTTAACAAATAGAACAACAAATAAAAAAATACTGGTTTTCCTCTTTGGAATCCCTACACTAGTTGTTTAACTAGTGTAGAAAAACGGGCCTCTGACTGTGGCCTTTGACTCACACATAGTATCAGACCCATACTGATGAAAGGTGACTGATTTAGAGTTGGGGCGAAGACCAGCTTTCTAGGATTTCTGGCAACTTGGAAGTAGAGATACTTTGAGGAAATAGGGCTACTGATTGAGCTCTCTTCTTGCAACCCTTGAGGATGTGGCTGCCTGATGCTGAGCTAGTTCAGAACCAGAGTGTTGGTAATACATTCATTTAAAGCAGGGTTCAGCAAGGTTTTTCTTTAAATGCCCAGATAATAAATATTTAAGGCTCTGGACTTCTGACAGTTTCTGTTGCAGCTATTCAACTTCGCCGCTGTAGTGAGAAAGCAATCACACAATATGTAAACAAATGGATGTGACTGGGTTCCAGTAAAGGTATTAGAGAAACAGGCCAAGTAGCTATTGGGCCATAGTTTGCCAGCCCATACCTTTAAGCATGTTGATAATGGAAGTATTCTCACAATAGAGAAGTTAGCCCTAATTGTAGTGATATAGTAGGAATTGTACTATTTTCACAATTTTGATAAGACTTCCTACCCACTTTAAGAATGCCGGTGTGGATGTATGTGAGGATACCTTTGCACACGTTAGATAACCAAGGAGTAAGGAATATGCTGTACCTCAGCCTGCTCTGTTTAGTGGCTTCACTTCTGTACTAGGAATTGACAGCATGTTTGTGAGACTACTCTGACCAATTCAAGTCTTCTCAATAACGCAGCATCTTTGGAAATAAGTGGTGTCCATGCAAAAACAAAGGTGGCACCTTGGAAGCATAATTGTAAGTTTATTTATTGTTTATTTTTTACATATGCTGAGGTATGAAGATTCAGTGGTGGCATAGATGTGTCTTGTATTTTAGAAGAATTCTTCAGTGATTAATAGTGGTGGTGGTGTATGATTTTGGATTTCAGGTAAGACTCTCACCATAATTTGGTTGTGTAACCATAGGCAAGTTGCTTACCTTGTTTATGCCTATCTCCTTACCTATGAAAATTAGTTATAAATTTCAATTTCTGGAATTTCACCTGACCATATTTCAAGGCTGGGAATAACATTTCTAGGAGTCCTTAAGAGATGTAATGAGTGTGTGAGGTAAAGCAGCAGAGATGAGATAATTTGCAGATAGTCTTATAAAGTAGAATCCAGGGATCAGTGCTTCTTTTCTTGATTGTGGGCACTGAGAAAAGAGGCATCTTAGGAAGACTCCTTGGATTCTGACTTGGGTTAGATGCATGAAGCTGATGTAGAAGGGACAAGGTTTTCAGTGAGTTAGGCATTAAGTTTAGTTTTAGATGTTGATTTTTCAGGTGAGGGCAGGAAGTTGTAGCATTTAGTATCCAGGGATACTAGGAATGAAATACTGTGAGACTATTTAACTTGTTAACTGAGTTGATTTCAACTCAAAGCAACCCTATAGGACAAGGCAAAACTACCCCATAGGGTTTCCAAAGCTGTAATGGTGTATTCATCCCATGGAGCAGCTGGTAGATTTGAACCGTCTGTCTCTTGGTCAGCAACTGAATACTTTAACCACTGTGCCACAAGGGCTCCTTAACTTGTTGACAGTGAATCGTAACTGTTGCAGCTCTATTTGCCTAACTTGTTATTAACTTCCATAAAGGCAGGGCCTGACTCATGGCAATTCCGCGCGTGCAACAGACTGAAATGCTTCCTGGGCCTGTGCCATCCCCGTGATCAGTTACAGATCAGACCATTGTGATCCATAGAATTTGCACTGGCTGATTTTTCAGAAGTGGATTGTGAGGGCTGTCTTCCTCGACTGTCTTAATCTGGAAGCTCCACAGAGAACTGCTCAGCAGCTTGCAAGCCCCCACTGACAGATTGGTGGCTGCACATGATTGAACCCAGGTGTCTAGCATGGAAGGGAAGAATTCTGTCACTCATCCAGCAGTGTCTCCATTAGCCTAACTGTGGCTACTTTGAATAGTTCCGTTTAGCATCCTAGTCTACAGATAGGAATGTAAATTGATAGTAGTCTTTCTGAAAATCAGTTTGTATCAAGAGACTTAAAAATACTTATCTTTTCTGAACTGATAATTTGACTTCTAGGAATTTGTAATTTGTTCCCCCTAAAATATAGAGAACTTTTGAACATAGAAAGTATCTAAATGTCCAGTAGTTGAGAAATAGCTAAGTAAATTTTGGTTGCATATAATGGAATGATTATAGCCTAAGGCAGTTGACTGCTAACCAGAAGGCTGGCAATTTAAACCCATCAGCCACTCCTCAGGAGGAAGACTGGGCAATCTACTTCTGTGGAGATACCACCGTGGAAACCCAAGGAGGGGTTGCTATGTGTCAGGAGTGGCTCAGTGGCAGTGAGTTTGGTTTTTTGGTATAGCCATTATGTTATAGCCATTACATTATGTTTGAGAGTATTTTCCTGGCCTAGGAAAATACTTAATTATAGGATGAGGACAAGTTGTTCTCAAACTTAGATGTGTGATCAACTGAGGATCTTATTAAAAGGCAGATTCTGATTGAGTTGGTCTTGGATGGGACCTGAGATTCTGCATTTCTATCCACTTCCAAGTGATCTGCTATTCTGTGTACCACCTTTCAAATGAAAAGGTGCCAGATGACTTTATCTGCAACAACAACAAAGCAAAAGGTTAGAAGTGGCTGCTGCTGTAAGAAGGATTACTAATAGTTTTTTTTTTTTTTTTTCCCTGAGTTCTTTAGCTTTGCTGTAATTTCCATGTTTTCACTGTGAACATAGTAGTTATATAAATTAGAGACTATTTTTGAGCCCTTACCGTGTTTTCAGACACTGGGCTAAGTGTTATTCTTGTGTTATTTTCTGCAATTTTCAGTGAAACCTTGTCGAGTAGGCAGAGGAGCATATAGTTAACCTACCCCATAGGGTTATATGAGGATTATAAGGGGATTTTTCAGAGTAATCTATATTAGGTGACTTGATGTAGTAGTTGTTGTTGTGATGTGCCATCGAGTCAGATCCAACTCATAGCGACCCCTCCTTGGGTTTCCAAGGCAGGATCACTACGGAATTAGATTGCCCAACCTTCCTTCCGAGGAGTGGCTGGTGGGTTTGAACCGCCAGCCTTCTGTTTAGCAATCAAGTGCCGTAGGCACTACGCCACCAGAGCTCCTGATCTAGTAATAGCATTTATTAAATTTCAATAAATGGTAGCTACTAAATCCTCATCATAATTTTTGTTGTTATTATCTTATTTTCATAGATAAGACAGTTGGATGCCAGAGAAAGGAATAATTTGCCCAGGGTCACATACCAAGTAGCTGTCATAACCTGGATTTTAACTCACACGTCTGACTTAAGAACCCACTTTTACACTCTCTCCAAGGGGGAAAAAAAAATAAATTCAGCCACTACTGCCATTTTGATTTCTTTACATGATCTGCACAACCTTACCATCTTCAAAAAAAAAAAAAAAAGGCTTAGGAAAACATGCCAGGTATTTGCTTAAGTTTTATTAAGAGGTTTTTCTGAACTTGTTTAAGTATTACTGGTTAAGAAATTAGAGAGTAATTTGCAACAAGAATGTAAAAATGAAATAATTATTTGGATGTATATAGAGATGAGGCAACTAAATGAAAACAATGCTTTTTATTTTCATTCAGCATTGAACAAATAAGAATGTTTAAAAGAAATACACGTATGTTTATGTGTGATTGTATGTGGATAAGAAATTTGGATGCTAGCCAGAAGGTTGGCTGTTCAAACCCACCAGCTGCTGTTCGGGAGGAATATGGGCCAGTCTACCTCTGTAAAGATTTACAACTTTGGAAACCCAATGGGGATGACTGTGAGTCACAGTTGACTCAGTGGCAGTGGGTATGTGTATGTATGTATAATGTAAAAGTGATACAATGAATATCCACAGACCTGCCATTCAGTTTTAAAAAATATTATCCTTTCTCTTTTCCTTCAGAAAATCTTGAATTTTCATTTCCTTGCTTTCCTTTCAATTTTTCCAACATGTGCAGTTCTAAAACAGTATACTGTTCAGTTTTTTATGTAATGGTATTATACGTTATGTATTTGCAAAAAAGGCATGAAGGCAGCATCTTCTGACCTCCTCCAACCTCACAAATGGGAAATAGAGTCACTGTCAGCAATCCAAGGCTTATTCCTAAGAGGCCAGACATGCTGCCGCCCTCCAGTTTTGTATCAATTCTGATACCAACCATCCCTCCCTCAGCACTCATTACTTCTCTGCTGGGTTGGATAATCTGTTGCAATGGCCACAGAATTTACAGACAATACTCAGGATTATGGCTACAATTGAGGTTCAGGAAGGCGCTCAGGGTACAATTCTTCAACCAAGACAGTCTCTCCTCTGCTATATCCTCAGGCACTCTTCTTGGCCTAGCTTCTGTCCTGTAGGGCCTTTTAGCTCTGCCGATAGGTACAGCTAGGTGCACCCCACTCTGCCAGCAAGCCTCCTGCCCAAAGGCACTCAGCTTTCTCACTCTGCTCTGTCTCGTGCATTTTGGTTCCACTGCCTTCGTCTTTCAGCTGGGTGTCTCTGCCAAGCAGGGCCAGCACAGGGATCTTGAGTCCAAGGATGCGTTCTGCTCCACTCCACCTCCGGCAGTTCTCTCTTGACGGCAGTCAGATCCCCCCTTCTATCTCTTGTTGTGGTGTTGTTGTTATGTGCTGTTGAGTCGGACCCGACTTATAGAGACCCCTCCTTGGGTTTCCAAGGCAGAATCACTACGGAAGTAGATTGCCCCGTCTTCCTTCCGAGGAGTGGCCTGGTGGGTTTGAACCGCCAGCCTTCTGGTTAGCAGTCAAGTGCCTTTAGGTACGCTACCAGAGCTCCCCCTTCTATCTCTAGGGAGACTCATTTTAAGCCCAGCAGCATGACAAAATTAACCAGTCTTCACATTAGAGTTTCATACACCTCTGTTTGCATGGTCCTACCCGATAACCTGGAGTTACAAACACTATGGCTAGAAATGCCATACCAAGTAATTACTGTACCACGGTATTCTTATGCAACTTGCTTTTTTCAGTAATTATATTGCAGTCTTGAGTTTTAACCATATTATGTGTAACTATAAATTATTCATTTTTCTATATTGTATAACTGTACAATTTCTTTCTTCAGTCTGCTTTGATGAACCTCTAGGTTGTCTCCAGATTTTTTGTTTCCTTTGTCATTGCTGTAAAGAATATGATTTATGTTTCTTATTGCCCGTGTACAGGAGTTTGTTAAGAGTGTATTATGTCTGCCTGTAATTGCTGGGTCATAGGGCATGTAATAATGCTAAATGGTGTACTAATTTATGCACCCACTGTCAATGTATTATAAATGTTCTAATTATTCTGCATTTTCACCAGCTTTTTGTATTGTCAGACTTTTAAGTTTTACCCATCTGATTTATGTAAGTAGTTCCCAAAGGGACCTTTAAGGTTATATAGAAACTTTCACAATGGAACTGTGAATCTTACCAGGCAAAACCCTATAGAATTTTAATTCTTCAATTTCTTACTACTTCTGAGTACATTAACTATTTTATGGTATATATATTTTTTAAAATTCAACTTGATTGGCTTTTAGTAGCTAACTAAAATACATTTTGTGTATATTCTTAAGTAGTTTTAAAGTAGCATTCTGCTACTTAATACTGGTGGAGAAATCTGAAGTATTCAGCTACCTTTGCTGAAAATTTTGTTTGGAAATTTAAATAGAAATAAACTAATTGTACATTAATCGTTTTTTTTTTTTCCTCCTTCCTTATTGGTGCAGAAGTTCACTTTTAGTAGTCATAAACCATTTGTCTCGTTTGGTTGCTTAGAGAAAAACTACAACAAAGTAAAAACATAAAACTTTCTAAGTTGAAATCCATTTAGGTAGAAGGTTGTTAATATCAGGACACTATCCAGCATTATAAATTATAATTGTAGAGAAAGACAGGCTTAAAATAAAATTAGCTTCTGATGAGAATTTTTTTGCCAATTTAAAAAACACCTTTTATGTTCTAGCACCAGTATGCATGAGCGAGTACACCGAACAGAAAGACAGTTTCGATCACTTCCTGATAATCAACAGAAACTACTTCCTCAGTTTCTTCTTCACTTGGACAAGATCCGGAATTGCGTTGATCATAATCAAGAAATACTACTGACCATTGTGAATGATTGCATACATATGTTTGAAAATAAAGAATATGGAGAAGATGTATGTGAAAATTTGTTCTGTTTGCTTTCGTTTTTAGGGTTTAACTTGTATATTTGGAGGTCTTGAGTTTTTCCTTCTGGATTTCATTTTTATCATTTTTACGGGTCATTTACTCACAGAGCATTTCCACTGAGATGCTCAGTCACTTGATTAGGCTTAATGGTAAATAGAACAGTGAGCCAGAAATTGGATTTGTACACTTGATTTTTTTTAGTATTAAGATAATTATTTGCTTTTTGATACACTTTAAATAGTGTTCTGACTATTTTGGTGTATAGGGTTAGTGACTGAAATGCTTATAAACAACTTTATAAACAGCTTTCTAAAATTAATTTCCCTTTCTAAACATTTCTTAATATCTTGTATCTACTGCTATTCATCTTTTACTTTAAGAAATTAATTTCACTTATAAATCTCAAGGGACTGGCAGTAATAGGAACTGAAGTGCTCTTTTGGTATCCACAGGATAGATATAGTTGGGCCACTTGAGTGGGAGCTTCTCCGTGCTACCCAATCAGTTACCTGGAGGGACTTTCTTCCCTCTCTAGGTCTCCATAGCAGCTCAGTTCTGGTCCTCTCCTAAATAAAGACTGCTTAATCATATGGTGGTTTTGTGATTAATGGACCTTACTCTATTGAGGACTGAGGTGAGACCACCAAACTTCTCATTTAGCATCTCAAGCTGCATTGAACCCTGGTTGAGGTGAGAGGCTAGTGATCTGTCCGCTAAACCATGTGTACAGCCCCTTAGTAGCATGTCTGTTTAACGCTATTCAGGATGGATTGCTTTCTTAAAAGTTATCTGATTTCTGTTTTTTAAACAGGGGAATGGAAAGATTATGCCAGCATCTACATTTGACATGGATAAGTTAAAATCCACATTGAAACAGTTTGTGAGAGACTGGAGTGAAACTGGGAAAACAGAGAGGGATGCCTGCTACCAGCCAATCATTAAAGAAATTTTAAAAAATTTTCCAAAAGAGACATGGTAAATAGTACCTTGTTTTTAACTTATTTTCTTCAGATGTAAATGCTTTGAGTTTTTTTTATAAAACATTTCATGGTTTTAATTCATTTTTACAGTTATCTGCCTATATGCATGGGTGTTAATATTTGTTATTTGGAGCTTTGCCCAAGTAAAGTTGCAAATTAATATTTTGAATAATTTTTGCTGTACTACTTACTGGAAATTAGTCTATTTAGAAACTAAATGAGGGTAGGTTGAATGTTCATTGTCAACAGTGTCTATCTTTTTGTATCTTGCTTTATGACAGAGCAAAAAGCTGCAAACTGTTTTAATTTTCCTCATTATGACATACTTATAAGCAAATAAAGGATCTATGTCTTAGAATAGAGGTTCTTAACTTTTTTGTGCTGTGGAATCTGGACAGTGTCGCTTACGAATCCTTTTTCAAATGAACATTTTTAAGTGAATATAATGAAATGTGTAGGATTACAAAGAAACCTATTATTTTGAAATACAACGATCAAAATCTTTAAAAAGCAAATTTGTGATATAATGATGAATACACTTTCTACCATACATTGCATTAAATAAAATTGAAAAGTGTAATTATAATATGAAAATACTGAATAATATATACTTTATTTTGAGAAGCTCGGTAACTGATGTGAAATGAAAATACATATGGTTTATTGATGAGAAAAGTGTAGGTACTGCTAAAACTGGTGTTGTAGTTATATAGATTCATAATTGAATAAAAAAAATCGGTTAAAGGTTAATGAAAATTAAAATCTATTTTTTCCCACATCCCATTCAGTGACTCAGTGAATTCTATCCACAGACCCCTTAGGTCTGTGAATCCTTGGTTGGGAACCTCTGGTTTAGAGGCTATGTATTTAGAGATAACAACTGATTAGACTTCAGTCAGTTATTCTGAGATTACTATTACATTTTAAAGGATCTTTATAGAGAGTCTTCTTTTTCTCATCTTTTTTTCCTCAATAATTGCTATTTTAAGTTTGGATGTGTCCTTCCAGAATTTTCAATATCTTTGTCTCTTTTTTTTAACATAATAATTTGAAATAATTTCAGAATTACAGAGAAGTTGTAATAATTACACAGTCCTCTCACACCCATTTTCTGAATTCACCACTACTTTTTTTTAATGTTTTGCCACATTTGCTTTATTATTTTCTCCCCCGTGTGTGTATATAATGAAACCATATATATGCATAATTATATTTTAAACTCTTCAAATGATTAATTTTCATACATTGTGCATTTTTACTGCTCAGTAACTTGGTTTATTTCCTGAGAAAAATGATATTCTCTTATAAATAGGGCAGTTACCAAATTGAGGAGATTTAACCTTGATGTAATACTGTTATCTAAGTATAAAGTTTTAGCCATTATCCCAATAATGTCTTTCATGTTTATTTTTCCCTCCAGTTTAGAATATTGTATTGTATTTAATTATCATGTCTTTTAATCTTTTAATGTGAAACACTTCCATTGCCCTTGTCTTTCATGTCATTGACATTTTTTAAAAACTGAAGGACGTTATAGAATATTCCTTAGTTTGAGATTATTTGATACTTCTTCATGATTAGATCCAGATTATATATCCCTAACTGTAATTGAAGGAGCACTGGTGGCACATTGCCCAAGGCATTTTGACTGCTAACCAGAAGGTTGGTGGTTCAAACCCACCAGCAACTCCACAGAAGGAAGATGGGGCAATCTACTTCCGTAAAGACTTACCCTTTTGGAAACCCAATGGGGGTCATTATGAATTGGAATCGAATTGGTGGCAGTGGGTTTTTTTAAACCATAATTGACATTGTGTTCTCCTCACGGTATCACATCCATAGACATACAAAGCTTATCAGCCTGTCATTGATATGCCTTTCATCGATGATAATAATTTTGATCACCTGTTTAAGATGTTACTTGGTTTCTCCATAGTTCTGTTTCTCTTCTTCCAACTAATAAGCAATTTCTGCAGCCCCAGTTACTTTGAGACCACACAAGTAATATCCTGTTCCTCATCAAACTTTCCCACCTAGAATTGTCATCATACATTGATGACTCTTGCTTAAAACAGTCTTTATTCTGGTAGTTGTGCTTGGTGATTTTCAAGCTCTACTGTTCTCTCCAGAATAAATGCATTGCCATTCTACTGCAAGAAAGAGCCCCCTTTTCTCCCCTAATTATATGTCTAACAATTACCAGAATGGACTCATTGTTCCTATTTAATTCAGAGATTTATAATCCACTGGAATTGTTACCGTAGAGTTGATTCTGACTCATGGCAGCCCCATTCGTTAGAGAATAGAACTGCTCTGTGGGATTTTCTTGGTTGTAATCTTCAGAAGCGATCGTCAGGACTTTTCTTCCATAGTGCCACTGGATGGGTCAAACTGCAGTCGAGTTCAAACTATTTGTACCACCTCAGGGACTTTATAATTCATTACTGTTTCTTTAAATTTATTATTCATTCAAATTGCATTAGAACTGTTCAGCAGGAGTCTTAATCTTGTCACTTGTCTTAAAACTGTTGAGGGTGAGGTGTTTTATTTTTTCTTTTCGCTCAGGTTTTTTTTTTTTTTTTGTAGCAAAATTTATGCATCTTTTGTTTGCATCTGAGTCTTGAGTCATACTTAGAAAGTCTTTCTTTATGCTCATGGTATAGAAGGATATGTTTTCTTCTAGTGCTTGTATATCATGCTAGGTAAATTAGAGGGTTAGTGTGGTGGTTATGTTTGTGTGTCAACTTGGCGGGGCCTGGTTGAGTGTCTGGGCAGCTGGTGGTAGTTATTCCCCATGATGAGACTGGTAATCAGTTCTGTGGTGGGATCTACCACAAGCAGCTGAGTAGCTGCTTTGGATATGTAGTCTGCTTCCTGTATATAAGGAGAAGCTTTGGGAATGGTCTCTAGCCTATGGCATGCTTGGACCCTGCATGTAGCCATGTCGTTATTCAGCACCCTGCCATGCTCTGCCAACCTTGGGATTTACGATGTACTTGAATTAATGGCCTGCTGTGTTGTTTGGTAACATTGGGACTGTGCCATTTTATTTGTTGACCTTGGGCTTGTTAGCCTCAGCAGCCAGTAGCTGTCTGAGTGAAGAGATGCCTCTAGCTTCAGTGGGTCGGGAGCAAAAACAAGGAGAGCTGAAGACCAAAGTCGAGGGGTCCCTAGAGCCTGGCATTTTGAACTCGGACTTCTAGCCTCCAGAACTGTAAGAAAATAAAACTCTTGTTTGTTAAGGCCATCCCATTTATGGTATATTCTTCTCAGAGTGGTACTAGGTAACTAGAACAGTCAGCAGAAAAGGAGAAGACCTTCGACGAGATGGATTGACGCAGTGGCTGTGATGATGGGCTCAAGCATGGCAACAGATGACAAGGATGATGCAGAACCAGGCATCGTTTCATTCTGTTGTACATAGAGTAGCTGTGAGTTGTAACTGACTCAGCAGCTCCTAACAGTACAAGCACTAGAAGAAAACATGGCCTGTAGTTTTCTTGCGGTGTGTTTGTCAGGTTTGGTATCAGGATTATGTTTGCTTCATAGAATGAATTAGGGAGTATTCTTTCTCTTATCTTTTGGAAAGTTTAAACAGTATTGGTGTCAATTCTTTAAATGTTTGGTAGAATTCCCTAGTGAAGCCATCTGGTCTAGGACTTTTTTGTGTGTGTTGGGAGGTTTTTGATCACTGACTTTCTCTGCACTTGTTCTGGGTCTGTTGAGAGTTTTAGTTTCCTCTTAGGTCAGTGTGTGTAGGTTGTGTGCCTCTAAGAGTTTGTCCATTTCATCTAGATTATCCAGTTTGTTGCTATACAGCTTTTCATAATATTCTGTCACAATTCTATTTATTTCTGTCAGGTCAATTGTAATGTTTCCCCTTTCATTTCTTATTTTGGTTGTTTG